AGATTTGAGGGGGAGGGGGTGGTGGGGATAAAATTGGCTGACAAGGGTTGTCACAAGAAGAGCACATTGTGCAAGAAATTTGTTCTTTGGCCATTGCTGTAATTGTTGACATGGCTTGAGAATTTTTGTTAAGTGAAAGGAAGAGGAGAGTGAAAATGCAGAAAATGAATGGAGTATGTGAGGGAATACTCCACATTTTCAGAAAGTTGTGGACTTGGGATTTTTAGCTCAAATAAGAGAGAAGGGAGAAAGAGATAGGGATATACAGAGAAAGTAGAAGGAGAGGAGGAAGACAAGAGTAGGTTATGGCACTATAAAGTGAAGAGGTGAAGGGGTGAGCAAAAACAAATCTATACCTTAAAAGCTGTGGGGGTGCATGAGTGGTTAGAAGAGAATTCTGACTTAAAAAGGTCACGGATACATCAGTATATGTATATTGAACAAAATATTTAAAAACTTATAATCTTATACTACTAGTATATAATTTGAATTTGAGAAATTTTAGAGCCTATTTGGACAATATGTGATTGAAGTTAAAGTTATAAAGAAGTTTTTTGGAAGTTCAAATTGTTTTGGACATTAAATTTGTAAAGTTGAATCTTTTATGAGCGAACAATCAATTTTTCGATTTTATATTTTATATTCCAGGTTAAAGTTAATACAATGAACCCGGCCCCCTCAGAACTCCGTCCAATCATACAAATAAGTATTAATACATCATCCAAACCTATCCAAAAGGGAGAGAGAAAGAATACAATTGGGGCGGGGTTTATGCATCCAAAAAGAATGGCTTTTATATTTGAAAATAATTTAATTTTAAATTATTCAATTTATCTATTTTATCATTAATGAGAAGTTTTTATAGCTACACAAATTGAAAATCACACAAAAAAAATTACCCTTCAAGTTTTTAACAGTGGCGGAGCCAGAATTATTTTAAGGGGGGTCAAAATATAAAGAATTAAATCCACAAAGAAGTCAATGAGTGTCATTATATATATATATATATATATATATATATATATATAAATTACTTAGCTACACAATGTAATTTTTAACGAAGAGGTGTCAGTTGACACCCTATGAATACATGTGGCTCTGCCATTGACTTTTAAGACCACACGTTTCAAAAATATTTTTTTTTTGTTTCTTAAGTTTCATACTGAGTCGAAATACTACACATAAATTGAAACGGATAAAATAAATAATTTGTAAACTAAAAAAATATTTGCAATGTTAGCGTACAAAAATTAACCTTGTAAAATAAAATGAGGAGATTGGAAAGAGAGTAGCGAAGACAGGCCCAAAAAGGGGAGATAATGAAGACAATGGGGGATATGCATGTGTATTGATGATCGCACCATTTGTAAGAGTATTTCTATTTTCTATGCCACCTATTATCAAAGTGACAAATAATATTGCACATTATAATGTTTTTAATATAGTGAAAGGTTGGCAGTTTGTCTGGGCTGCTATCACTGAAACTTGGAGTAGTTTATGGTATTATACTATAATTATTTATGAGCAGAGATGATTAGTTCCCTCTGATCCGCCAATATTTTTGCTTTACTCTTGTCGGACAGTCAATAGTTTTGTTATTAGAATTCTCTAAAAATATCGCCCCATATGTATTGAATTCTCTAAATTATATATTTTTGGAGGATCCGATTAAAGTGTACCAGTCCATTTTCTTTTGCATATCATTATTCTACATGCAATCACTGACGGAACTAGAGGGGGGGACGGGAGTTCATTTGAATCACATTCGCCGAAAAATTATATTGTATATATAAGGCAAATTTCTTTTTATGTATACTAGTCTTAGGATACGCGCGTTGCGCGTGTGCCCCGTCTCCGTGAGTAATTCTTATTTGAAGCAATCACATAAGCGTTGCGCGTGTATCCAATATCCATGAGTATTTTTTTAAGCAATATATAATAGTATATTAAAGATTGTGTTTGAGTTATAAATAAAAGTATAATGTTGATCCTATATAGCTAACTCAAAAAAAAAAGTATGGGATTTTTACACAAATAGCCGGCCAAATTCACTATTTACTTTTTTTAGCCGATATATATAAATTATACATTGATTATACATGATTATGTACATATTATATATGAATTATACATATATTACATATTCGTCGGCTATTTTTTGTTTAGGCGGTCGAGTGAGCGGCTATTTGGGTTAATTCTTCAAAAAAGTAAGTTCAAAACTGTGCATTCAACTTAAACTTTGTTCCAGTTTAATAATTTCATCACTTAAGTTTCACACATTATCATATTTGTTTTCCCCAGTTTAGCAAAGAAACAGATTATAAAGATTTAAGAGCTTTTTAAAAAGAAAAAATTAGAAAGCTACTCTCAATTCTAGAAGATAGAAACAAGGTTTGCTAAATGACAAAACACAAGCTCTTTTTTCTTTGTTGCGGGCAAAATGCAAATTATTTTATTTCTTTAAGCAATAAGTGTACGATATGAATTATTTTAAATAAATTTTAAAAGAATAAGTTAGTATCGCAAAAGTTTGAATGCAACAACTTTATTTTGATTTTAAAAAACATTGGAACATACATGTGAAGAAAAAACAAAAGAAAAGCAATATATAAATCGGGATCCAAAATCTTTAGATTACTAAAATTTTAATATAGTAGATGTATATTCGTAATGATCAAAGTGTTGAAACTTTAGATTCGTTACAAATTTTAAATATTAATGTTATTAGTTTATTTCAAAAAAATTAAGTAAATTCTTCAAGCCATCCTAGAAAGAATAGAGTTATTGTACTGGAATTTTAAGTAACAATATCAAAATTTATAGTAATAATTTTATAGTCATTTCTTTCGGCCCTCCTAGAAGAGATATTCTACTGGAATTCTAGTTCCACCTTCAGTTTGAGAAAGATAGACGATATATACTTTTATTTATACAAATGCTCAATATCAATTACTATTATTTATTACTTATTTTCTCACAAAAATCTTACAT